AGAGGGCCCCTCTGGACGTGCGAGCATAGGCACATGCCTAGAATGCCGATGCATAAATCCGGCCCTGTTTAGACCCCAAATCTTTAAAGATTAGTGTTTGTTTGTATGTGTATTACATATAAAATAAAAACTGTATATAATAAATATAAACTAGAATATATCTTGACTTATTTTACTTCAGTCTACCAAAATAGTGTTAATTAATATATATATATATATATATATATATATATATAATGTTTTTATTATACAATAATCGTAATATAGTATAAAATAATTACAATACCAAGTGCAAACAGGCCTGGAATGAAAATCAAATTGTAGGAATAGCCAAACATTTCTGTCCACCTCCCTCCGTAGTCCCTAATCAATTGGAGCTAAATGAAAGGGCAGCACTTCAGCCATAGACTAATGATTTTCACTATGAAACTGAACTTAAGCTGTGAAAAATCTTACATATGGAAATACGCAATGCTAAATAACTCACAGAACAAGGACCACATGCTAAATTCATAGCTGATAAATTCAAATAAAATTATAACCGTTTTCAAATATATGAAGTCAAATAATATTATTAATATTTTTCATAAGTTTACAATAAGTTATTTTATATTGGTTTGCAGTGTGGTCAGGGTAGAGGGCATGATGGGAACATCTGATACAACCACATGGGTGACTGGAGAGACATTTAATCAAAGAGGGAAGCAGTTAATTACTATAAATAAACAAATAAATTACTAGTCATGTAGTAATAGATCACATTTGTATTCATTTCTATTGAGAAATAAGCATTGCAATCATTAAAACAATCTACTTGGTTATGTCTAAAGTTTAATAAATTTGAATTTATTCAAGATCATCAAATTTGGCATGATGCCCTGGAAAGCAGACTGAAATTTGTTACTCTCAGTCTATTATTTATATAATTTTATAACATTAAGTCATATTTTGAATTAGCTTTTACTGTTATATTTGTTATGTGCTTTCATCATTTTTTAAATATTTCTATTTAGCGTTATTTTTATTTCAGTTTTAGTAATTTTAGTACTTCAATTCAAACTTATTTCAGTTAGTTGCCAAGACAATATTTCTTTTATTTCTTTCCATTTTTCACCTAATACTCTCAATAGGGGGCCCGCAGGCCACATCCGGCTGTGAGAGAAAAAAGTTTGGCCCGTGCTAATTTCAAATAATGTGGCATGAAAATTCAAACGCAGCATCAGAAAGCTAAATTAACTTACATCGTGTCTACACCGGACGCGAGCGGCGCGGCGCGACGCAATAAAATACAAGAACTCGTTATAATCAGTGATGCTGTCTTGGATGCGGCGCGACACGACAAATCCCCGATAATAAACTGCTGATTCGTTCTATTTATAACGTACAACATTCAAATGATTTGCAATGCTTTGTAAAATAAAAAATAAAGGTGCTTCACGATGCCATAGAAGAACCTTTTTGTCTAAATGGTTCCATAAAGAACCTTTAACATCTGAAGAACCTTTCTGTTTCACAAAAGCTTCTTTGTGGCGAAAGAAGGTTCATCAGATTATAAAAAGGTATAAAAGAGATGGTTCTTTAAAGAACCTTTGACTGAATGGTTCGTTGTGGAACCAAAAATGTTTTTTCTATGGCATCGCTTGAAGAACCTTTTGAAGCACCTTTATTTTTAAGAGTGTATGACTATAAAGATAACGCAAAATAATATTCAAATGCACATTAGACACTTTTAACATTGAATAAAGCACATAATCATTACCTGAGATTATCAGTCATATTTTGTATGTTGTTCATGCCTCGACGTCACAGAAAATAAAAAACGTTCCTAAAATAGAATTACACATCGTTTATTGTCACGTGTCACTGTCGTGGGTGGTTAGGACAAAAACTACAAGGAAAAGATACTTTTTATCACATCGTGTCTGGTTGGGACACACGGTGTTACAGTTTGATCTCCCAAAAAAAATCTAAGCATAAAAATATTAATACTGACAAATCTAATAATTGAATCTGCAGTGCAATTAGGGAAAGTGGAGAGAAGAGATCCAGTCTGGGAATGAGCAGGAACAATTGATTTGCATGGCAGACATGGAGATCCAGATTTTTTGTTCGTTCATTTGTTTTTAATATTCAACAGGCAAAGTTCTTCCGTATCTAAATGCAAAATGTTCATAATTTTTTGAATAAAACAGTTCAAACTGGGGGAAAAATCTGAATATTCATCTTGTGACCATCTTGTGATTATTTTAACAAAAGCAACAATAATATAATAATTGTGATGATAATAATAAGGTCAGTGGCCCTTGGCTTGGTATTGTTGGCAGAATTCAGCCCTTGGCGAAAACTGATTGAGGAACCCTGCTATATGTCATCTTTATTTTATTTACTGACAACAAATTTTAATAGTTTTAGTTAACTATAACAACACTGCTCACAATGAATGTTAGGAAAACAAAGACACAATATATAGAGGCTCCTAATACAGAAGTAGTATGCTACACGTCAGTCCCTAGAGATTATTTTAATTCTAGAAAAGGAAAAAAAACAAAAGCTCTTCACTTTGTTGTGTGACAAATGCACAGAATACATTCTTCGAGAAAATTGCATTTTGCCCTTGTTCAGCTATGTGCAGCGTATGAGAAACTGCTTCAATTACTTTAATTCTACTCTGTTTCAACTTTGCTTAGAAGATGAGACACTGCACATTGTTTGTCTGTTGGTGTGATTCCTGGAGGAGTCGAAAGACTCTGCGAGAGCTACATTTGTCACTGAAAGTGCTGATTTCATAATGTATGATTTCATAATATCCCTCTTATGCTCCAGCTGGATGCCTTGTAATGCTGTTCTATGTGATGGAAGAAAGGCAAAGAAAGAAGAGACACTTCATTTCACTGCTCTGAAAAAGTTTCATTGTTTTCTTGAGCTGTTTTGAGCCGTCCAAGTGATGTTGAAATAATCGTATCCTCAGCAGACTCAAAAAAAAAAAACTTTTAGATCTGATGTGCATTTAACATAATTTATAGTCATTATATGCCACATATTTCATAATATTATGAATTATATGATTATGTAAATGAAAATTGGCAAGTCAAAAAATCTGGATGATTTTTTTTTATAACATCAACTTTCCTACACTTTTGCTAATATAAATACTCATGCGCTTGTGCACATGTAAACAAGTTTATCCTGCCGCCAGATTCATTTGATTGGTCCATTGTTTTAAAACCAATATTAGGCGCTGTATGTTAAAATAATAATAAACTGTCCTTTCAACTTATCACACTGTATTAAAAGCATGGCATGTATGCCAGTTTACAACTCCAAAAAGACAAAACTACCCATTTTATAATATTAATTTTACTGTTTTAAATATTTTGTTTGCAATTTATGTTTAAAAATATGAAGCTGTCAGTAAGATTTTTTCAAAAGAAATGCATACTCTTATTCAGCAAGGATGCATGATGAATTCAGCCATGAATTCATCAAACATGACAGTAAAGACATTTATAAGGTTACAAAATATTTCTATTTCAAATAAATGTTGTTCTTTTAAACTTTAAAAAAGACCTGAAAAAAATGACGGTTTCCTCAAAAAGTTTTTTTCAACATTGATAATAATATCACCAAATCAGCACATTAATAACATCAACTTTCCTACACTTTTGCTAATATAAATACTCATGCGCTTGTGCACATGTAAACAAGTTTATCCTGCCACCAGATTCATTTGATTGGTCCATTGTTTTAAAACCAATATTAGGCGCTGTATGTTAAAATAATAATAAACTGTCCTTTCAACTTATCACACTGTATTAAAAGCATGGCATGTATGCCAGTTTACAACTCCAAAAAGACAAAACTACCCATTTTATAATATTAATTTTACTGTTTTAAATATTTTGTTTGCAACTTATGTTTAAAAATATGAAGCTGTCAATAAGGTTACAAAATATTTCTATTTCAAATAAATGTTGTTCTTTTAAACTTTAAAAAAGACCTGAAAAAAATGACGGTTTCCTCAAAAAGTTTTTTTCAACATTGATAATAATATCACCAAATCAGCACATTAGAGTGATATTTGAAAGATCATGTGACACTGAATACTGGAGTAATAATGCTGAAAATTCAGCTTTACCATCACAGGAATAAATTACATCTTAAAATAAACAAAAAAGAGGAAACAGTTATTTAAATTGGAATAATATTTCCCAATAACTGCAGCCATGGCAAGCATAAAAGAATTTAAAACATTTAAAAAAAGAAACTTACTGACTCCAAACTTTTGAACCCACTCATTCCTTTACACAAGACCTCAAAGGAGATGTACCTGCACTAGAAAAGGACTTCACTTGTTTCCCTCCAAGGAGTCTGCGTCAGCTGACTGCCAATCACAACCACTGGACCCATCTCTCACACACAGCCTGCAGCCTGAGAGAATACAAATAAACTGTACCGCACACTTCATTTGCATTTATGTTCTTGACAGATACTGCCTCAAAGCAACTTACAAAATGATGTACATACTACCAGCAATTTGTATCTGTTTGTTTTGAGTGTGTTTGTTTGTGAGGCGGGTTTGGGTCATGGACCTTACTGAGGTTGGCGGGAGGGCTCGGGTGGTTGTTACAGGATGGGGTGCCTCCTGGGCCATTATTAGGACCTCCTGCATTTCTGGAATCAGTGCATAATCCACCGGCCGCAGGCCAAACACATTCCTGAAAAACACAGACATATGTATAGTTTATGCAAAGTACTCTTTATTGAAAACAAAAACATTTTCAAGGACTGTATCCTCTAGATGTGTTCTGTTAAGCCTGCTAATGCCTCATAGGCGAAGAAAAGTTCCAACCAACCGGGAATAAATAAACCTCACAAAACGGCACACTTTGTGGATTTGTCTTGTGGCCTTTGTTTTTGCATGGCTATGAAGGTTAAAAGAATGTAAGATGTCCCTTTTGTCATTTTATGGTCTTGTCTAAAACGGTCATAGAGGATGGGAGATTTGTGGCAGAGGGAAACAAAATATATAAATCTGAATGTAATATTGTGTAATTGGTTAAAAAAGCCAGAGATATTACTCCTAATTTTGATGTAATTTTCTTCTTGGGGAACTTCTATATTTATAACAATAAGTGTTGTATTTATAAAGTAAACACAATCTTTATGCTTTATATTTAAGTTTTTAGTATTGCTACGTGTCTCCCAAGTATTTATTAAGAAAAAAAACTGTGAAAATCACAAAAATTTTGAAAAAAAGTGAATAATTTTATTTAGCAAGGATGCCTTTCAATTGATAAAAAGTGACAGCAAAAACGTTTATAATGTTACAAAAGTTTTCTATTTCAAGCAAGTGCTGTTCTTTTGAACTTTCTATTCAAACAATAGAAATCAAAGCATCCTAAAAAAATATTAGTTTCCACAAAAATTAAGCAGCACAACTGATTTCAACATTGGTAATAATAAGAAATGCATGCATAAAAATTTAAATAACAATAAAAATTATTTTTAAAATATTATATTAAAACAGTTAAGAATAAAAAGAGCATATATACATAAGATATAGAGACATAGCACAGTGCTCATTCCGTAAATGCACAGTTAAACACGTTTTGAGTCTAGCTGCAGCATTAGCATATCTATTCTTGCAATTTCGCAAGATATAAACTCGCAATCTCGAGTTATAATGTCAGAATCATGAGACAAACTCACAATTGTGAGAAAAAAGTCAGAATTGCAAGATATAAACTCGCAACCGTGTGGGGAAAAAAAGGCAGAATCCCTCAATTTGACTTCTTTCTCTGAATTGGGAGATATAAAGTCCAATTCAGAGGGGAAAAAAGTAAGCTCGCAATTCTGACATTTTCTTACAATTGCAAGTTTAAATCTCAGAAGTTAGATTTTATAACACAACCAATAAAAAGCTTGGGTAAAAAAGTACTTTTATTCAACAAGGATGCACTCAATTGATCAAAAGTGACAGTAAAGATTTCTGTTTATAATAAACGTTGTTCTTTTGAATGTTATAGTCATTAAACGTATCATGGTTTCCACAAAAATTTCAAGAAGCACAAATGTTTTCAACATTAGTAATAATAATAAGAAGAAGAAATGTTTCTTGCGCATATTAGATATGATTTTTGAAGGATCGTGTGACTCTGAAGACTGGAGTAATGATGCTGAAAATTCAGCTTTGCCATCACAAGAATAGATTATTTTTCAGAATATATTCAAATAGAAAAGTTATTTTAAGTTGTAATAATATTTCACAATATTACTGTTTTTACTGTATTTTGCTCAAATAAACGAAACCTTGGTAGCATAAGAGACTTCTATAAAAATATGAAATATCTTACCAACCCCAAACTTTTGAACACTAGTAAATAAACATTTAATTCAATAGCGTAAGAGCACATTCATTTTTTTAACCTTTAGAGCCATTTAGCATTAAGAATGGAAATTATATTAAATTGTAAAAATGTTTCACAATATTACATTTTTACTGTATTTTTGATCAAATAAATGCAACCTTGTTGAGCATAAGACATGTCTTTCAAAAACATCAGAAATATATTTATTTTTTACATCTGGAACAATTTAGTATTAAGAAGGGATAAATTATATTAAATTGTAATAACATTTCATACTGCCTTGGTTAGCATAAGAGACTTCTCTGAAAGACATTAAATATCTTACCAACCCCAAACCTTTGCATGCTAGTGAATAACATTTCATTAAAAAAAAAAAAAAAAAGTTATCAAATTATTTAGATTTTATGTTTAAAATGATTGACAAGTTTACCTAATAATATAAGTGCCATGTATTTTTATGCTTTAAGCTTACCAACATGCTACATATTATCAAACTACTGAAATCAGTGAGTCGAGTCACATTTCGTGTGCAGTGCTGTTTGTGTGATGTGCGGCGAGTATCTGTCCACATAGAGTGTTTCAAATAAGTCACTTATGAGGTTCTGTGACAGTTAGGATGCTGCTCACTAGAGCTAGCGGCTCTGTCTTGCTTGTACTTGCTACCCTCACGGTCCCTCAAGAAGTGGCTTTTCAGATCTGAAAAGCATTAATGATTACTGCTGGTACTGCAGGGATGTGCCAGTCAATTCATACAACACATTACAGAGAAGACTCTGCCCACAGTAGTTCCACCCGTAGCCCCACTGCTCCGATTCCAGACTGCAAGGAGTGAAAGTGATTGATTATGTGTGACAGGAGTGGATTGCTTCTGTGCAGTGCTTCTATGACAGAGCTGATGCTTCACTTCACCATTGACTAACGAAGCATAAATCTGCTGATGCTTTATGCGCTCCCAATGTACAGCACAGCACTAGTCAATCAATGTACAAAGAGCAGACAGACAAAAAGAGATGCAGAGACGCATGCAGAGAACTCTTGGGATGAGCATTTATTCATCTGGGTTCGCTGCCAATCTTGGGGAAATAGAGTTCATTAAGATAAAGGGTATGTGGGAGGAAGCGGAGCAGAAGTTCCCGAACATCTCTACACCAGGTACACACCATAGCGCAGTCATAAGTTACAAAATATGCACATATAAAATTTATGAATAAAACACTATCACATAACTGGGCTAAGAAGTATATGTGATGGTATACCCATTCAACAGTAGACATGTGTCAACCTGTAGAGATTTTGCAACATCTTTTCTTTTGTATCGCTGAGGTGCAGTGACAAGCAGATAAATTGACTTTTATCCATTTAATATTATTTGCTTTATTGTTTGATGCTAGATGTATTCATTTACGATAACTATTTTTTGGTTTGTGTAGTACATAAAATTTCTAATTAAAATGAATAACAAAATGAATACCAAATGAGATTAAGAACTTTTAATTTGTAAAGTTATTTCTCTAGATGGTCCAAAAACCTTCACAAAAATAAATAAATAAATAAATATAAATATATTTATATTTAAAAATTAATATAAATAAGGGAGCACTTCATGCTTCCTTCTGCTGACCAGCTTTTTGAAGATGCTGATTTCAT